ATGTTTTGTGTCGTTTTTAAATGACCAAACATTTATGTTCAGTTTTTTAAATGATCAAAAATTTTGACAGCTTTTAAATGAATGAAAAAAAAAATGTCCAGTTTTAGATGACCACAAATATTTGCCCGATTTTTAACTATTAAAACTGTATAAGTTTTTACATAACCAAATGTCCAGTTCTGTCCAGTTTTTAGGAGACCATAAATTTATGTCCAAATTTTTATATTGGCAAAAACTAATGCTCATTTTTTAAACTGCTAAAACCGTATGTAAAGTTTTGAATTTACCAAAAATGTATGTCAATTCTTTAGCGAAAAACTTTTAAATTACTTTTGACACTTTGTCCAGTTTTTATATGGCTTAAGGCTTTTGTCCAGTTTTTAGGTGACCATATATTTATGTCCATTTTTTACACGCCCAAAAATTATACTAGCCATCAAATTACCAAAATTTTATATATTTAGTATTTAATGACAAAAAATTATGGCCCGTTTTTTAAATTACAAAATATTACGTCCAGTTTAACATAAAAAAAGTCCATTTTTTTTGGTGACCATAAATTTATGTCCAGTTTTCAAATGTATGACATTTTTTAATTTGCCAAAAATGTGTGTATGTAGATATATTTCCAAAAGAATTGCCAGTTTTGCAATGACCTAAAATTAATATCATCTTTTTAATATTTAGTTTTTCATGACCAGTTTTTTAATTGCCAAAAAATATGGCCAGTTTTCGAAATACCAAAAATATATCTTCAGCTTTTAAATTAACAAAAATGTTTCCCCACTTCCCCCAAAACTTTATGTCCAGTTTTTTAGGTCACTAAAAGTTTATGCCTAGAGTTTAGATGGCAAAAAAATGTTGCCTCATTTTAACCAAAATTTTATGTGGATCTTTTAAACTTCGAGTTTTTAAGTGACCAAAAGTTTATGCCCAGAATTTTGATGACAAAAAAATTTGGTCCCATTTTGCCCAAAAATGTATGCCTAAACCTTTAGTTACTAAAAATTAATGTCCCGTTTCTTTCATTTGTACATAAATTATCCATGCTCGCTCGCCCATTTCTCAAATCACCTTCATATCCCGGCTTCTAACCCACTTCCCGCTCTGAAAGTGATAATCCTCTTCCACCCACCCAGTGTTAAATATGTCCTAGACCATTTTACCAACTAACAAATTGTATTCTTCGTATTGATCAAAATTAGGTTTGGTTTTCCAACAGACGAGCGAAATGGCGTCGACATCAACGTGTGAGTCAGCTGAAGCAGCGAAGTTCCAGTTCACCGCAGGCCACCACTGCGACGATACAGCAACGATCACTATCACCAGCGGACAAATACGATGCTGCGACGACGGCGGCGATGGCAAGGCATTGCTACAACAACAGCAACAACAACAACAACGGCAAATCAAATATACCGAGCGCTTATTACCCAACACTGAGCGCGCTGCCGATGGGCCTTGCCAATCACCAGCATTCACCACAAACTCTGGATTACACACACAAAGCGGCGAACGCTATCATCCCTACAGCAAGCCAACAAGGCCGAGTAGGCGATCAAGCAACGGCACAGACACCCGGCGCAACAACACAGTGTCCACCACTACCGCTGTACGCCCACCACTCAGCGTTGCTGAACATGAATACTTATCTAACGACGGAAGCAAAAGCTCCATTACCTCTGCTTCCGCACCACACCGGCACCAACAACACACCGGTGACATTTCCATCGCACACAGCATCAGTTCCATTATTAATGGGCGGTGAGCATAGCGCTTTTCGCTCAATGGTGGTGAATCCAACACTGTCAGAGGCAATGCTTGCGCTCAACTTCACCCGGCAATATGTTAACGCAACGCAGCAATCGAAGTTACTGGTTGCCAGCAGTGGCAATGGAGGCAGTGGCGATTCGCCAACATCGCGTTCAACAACACCATCGGCGGCGACGACGCACTCGACGCACTCGCGGCAGTCAGAGGGGGAGGAAATCAATGTGGTGCTGGATGTGGAAACGAAAGAGGAGCGGCAATATAAAGATGTTGTGACAAAGGATGCAGAGGGAATGTAGAAATTAGGCGAGTTAAGGTGAGCGCATCTACAAACGGCGCAGGATGCACAAGGCTGACTAATGCAATACTACCCAAATAAAGAGAAGTAATGTGGAATGTATTTTATGGATTGTAATTCAGGAGTGTATGCGTAATTATTTAGTAACTAATTTTATGTAGACACTATTTGTTTAAATTTAAAAATTTAATTATTAGCGAACTGTACTCAATGCACTATCGATATATAATGTACGATCATTATACATATGTCTAATATTCAGTGTTGATTTTCTCAAATTTATTGTATTTAAATAATAATTAACTTAGTGCAATTAACGGTAACTTGAAATCGAACCAACTAAACTCCGCAATATAGTTTAAAAACAGAAAATACTCAATTGGCATTCATATTTTGATTGGAAAGAGGATAATAAAATAATCTTAAATATGGTAGGTAAATATTTTTATCGATTTCGGAACTGTCAAAAGTTTTTTTTAGCTATATAAAAACGATAGACTCTAAATGTTTGCTATGTGCCCCCACTTTAGAAGCCGCAAGTTTTATAATCACACAAAAGGGAACTGCAAGTGATGTGGCCAATTGTGTTTTGGAACTAAAGATCGTCTATTCGAGGAATTGATAGGTCGCGGCGACCTACCCCAGTGACTTCAAATTTAAGAGAAAATCGTCACGAAATCGGCACCGGAAGTCTGGACAAACTGGTTTCTCCACTTTTATCCCAGGTACGTATGTAAGTTGGTAAACAAACGAGCCAAAGAGGGATCACAGAACGGGTGCTGGTATTTATGTACCCATCACTGGCATTAAAATCCTTAATACTAAGGGCAGGGTTTTTTTTTTTTCAAATCGAGGAGTAAGTAAATTGGACCTTCACCAGTATAAACATATGAAAAAAAACGAGTGAAGGGCGTATTTAAAGGTATATTTTAAGACAACCAAATGGCCAGTCGGACCCTTTCCAAAAAGATGACCACTTTTAAGCCTGGCAGAAAGTGTTTTAACTTCTTTCAACGAGAAATGAAGTTGGTGTAACGAATGCAATGAGAGTAAAAAACTTGTGGAGTTCTGCACTTAGATCCTGCCAAAAGATCTTTTATCGATAATATATGTAGCTGCCATCAAAACAATGAGATTGAGCCAAACCTGCTTTTAAAAAGGATCGAATGAGGTGGGTAGTGATGATTTTTTATTGAACAACTCAATTTGGGATTCTCCTTTCGCTTACCAGATTAGGCAAGTGTTTTCCATTTTCTGATCAATTGAAAATTCTCTACCTTAATATGAGTCCCACTGCATAGGGACAAATTTATAAGACGGTGAAACAGCAAGTGAGTTCCGATTCTATACTAAGCAAATCCGAGTACGTGGGCTCCATTTATGAGAACCAAAGGCAGAAGTGCCGAAATTTAACATTCGAAAACTAAGCTCAGTTGGTCCTATAAATTGACCAGGAATATTTAGAATACCCACATCACACTTAAAACAAAGAGTGCTTGCGCGCTGCTGGGCCTGGAACACAACATTGTCAGCCGTATGGGTATGCAGGCCTATCGATAAATAGTAAGATATACATAAATAAGTTGACCTTACTAGAGAAGTAGTATTCGGCGACTTTAGCAGTTATGATCTTTTTAATAAAAATCATAATTTAACCCTCAAAATTGGCTTTCTACTTTTCCGATCATATTTAACCGTTATTTAATAATTTTTATTTTTTTGATAAAGAATAATCGTCATTTTTGGATTTTTATTTTTTCGATACATTTTTGATCAATTATTTTTATTTTTTCAGTCATATTATAACCGTTATTTTCAGATTTAACCTTTTGGATAATAAAAGATTTAAATCTGTAAAAAAAACGGCAGTCTCCATTATGGCGGTTAAAAATTATCGAAAAAATTAAAAATAACTATTATTTTTAAACGAAAAAAATAAAAGTCACAAAGTAACGCTAAATTTGAGAGCACAAAATCTAACGATTTTTCTTGATAAAAAAAAATAAAACTCTGAAAAATTATGATTTTGCAATGATCTAAATAAATAGTTGATATTTCACGGTTATTTTCAGTTCGTAGTATTATTGACAACTTAACCAGTAACGATTGCGATAAATAGGCATATCGGAAAAAGTCGATAAAAATCTATTTCGATAACGATATACATACATAGATAAAAATATAGTTATCGGCAATAATGTCGACTAATATTTGTATTCAAATAATGTCAATAAAATTAGATAAATATATCGATAAAAAATCTATAAAAATATCGTTTTTTTAATAACCTTTTTTATAAAACTACTGTTTTTCTTATGTATTCATGCCACAACAATCGATCTAACTGAGTAGAGATTAACAAAAGCCTATGCATACAGTTAGATACTTACATACAAACTTTCACATGAGGCACATATTTATGTATTTACATTAGGATGCATCACTCTCCAAACAAAAAAATGGTACATACGGGACGGAATTATAAAATTTATTATATTTTAAGACTTCCAGCAAAATATTACGGAAAAATGGCAAGATCAGTTAAAAAAAAAAAGTTTGAAAAAAACCAAGATGATAGAAGAGAGTAAGCTTAAAAGTTCTGCAAAAAAACCTTTAAAAATTGTATCAATTTTCAAATCAATCCAGCTAACGCAAATCTGAATACCTTTCCGAAATATTTTTGGCGGTATTCGACCGTATTTCTATTGTAATAAAACTATTTATAGAGTATATTTTATAATTTCGGTGTAAAACCCGCATTTTTTTTGTTGAGGCACTCTAATGTACATATGTTATTAAAAAGAAAATTCTTGTTTACATATCAGAGATTAGTTCCAACAATCATTAAAAACATGAAACTACGTGTACAACAAAGACTAGTATTAACGCCATTAGGCACAGAAAATGAACATTCGATGAAAGGTAAGCTTTTTCATTGTCAAAAAAGAAGGTGGTTTAGAAGTTAATTGAAAAGAAAAATTCTCCTCCTAGCAGCCACCAAAATGCTGGTCATCAAGAGGTCATTAATTCGTATAGCAATAGCAAGCATCAAAAATCGATCGCTGGAATTTTGACATTTCTTGATTGCTGACGCTTTTCAATCAACAAAATCAAAATCCTTTCTATTCGTATGGGTAGTAATTATAAATTTACATGTGTTATTCAATTCACATTACGTGTGAACCACTGAAATGTTTATAGATAGACAAATTGGTTTGCCTATTCGTTGTTATTGTGTTTAGCGAGTATAAAGCGCCAACTGTACAAAATATTCAATCCAGCCGTGTAAATATGTAGATGAATAAATTTTGGAAATTTTTAAAACCTTTTGTGTTAACTACCGCACACACTATTAAAGAAATGAAAGCTGTGTGTGAAATAGTAGCAGCAGCAGTGGCAGCAACTACAGAGCGTAAAAAAAAAATCGAAGTCAATCAGTCAGCCTTTCTACACTGCTGCCCAAGCCCAACTTGCTGTCCGCCTGCCTGCTTAAATGGCGCTCAAAATTAATAATTTGAATACTTTAATGAAAACAATGAATACTCAAATACACACATTCACTCACACACTCATTCATTGACTCGCTCATTATGCCATTATAACGTGTAATTGGACAAGCTATGCACTTGGTTGCCGTTCGTTCACATCGAGAATAGATTATTCAAGTGGACAATTTGACAAGCGTAAAATTAAAACTTTCAATGAGGGGCCTATCAATCCCAAATTTAATTATTGTATGTGTAGAGGTATGTATGTATGTATGTATGTATGTACACGCAGTGCGGGATTTAGCATCTACGGGCCCATAGGCTCTTTGTGTGGTGGGAGTACTAAGACAAACGGCGGCCATGGGCATTCTCCAGATATTAGTTTTTTTAAGTTGCAAACATAACCTAACTTTACTGGTAAAAATTACGATTAGGTTTTTCTATAAAATCTAAAAATACATGCTTTGTAAATTTTAAACCACGTTGTACTTTTTTTGTTTTGTTTTTTAATTTTTCATATATGTACAGTGGCGAAAAAAAAATATTGACACAGAGAATTTTTCGCAGTGTATGCAAAGTTTTTTATTCTAATTGAATAAACAATATTTTTGAGTTTCTATGGATCTGAGTCATTTTATCATTAAGTTCAAATATCAAATTTATAAGTTTCATAATATGTATGACATTTAGTTTACTTTTATTTGTAAAACAACACGGTTTTAACAAGACTTCGTCGAATCGACGATCATTAGTACTAACGTGTGTAAAATATGGTTCGTACTCTAGGGTTAGATTTTTTGAAAATTATTTATTTATTGCTTCTTTTTTAATTTAATTTGTTTTTCTTTTTTAAATTAATTTTCTTTTAATTTTTAGACTTTATTTTAAAAATAAAAATAAATTTTTTTGTTAATTCTCTTTTTTGATTTATTTTTGTTTTTCTTTTTCTAGCTAAATTTTTAGATTTTATTGTTTTAAAAAGAAAAAATATATATGTTACCGGCCAAACCCGATCTTAGGACAAACCCTGTTTTTCCTAGGGTAAACTATTTCTACCTGGAGCCGATACATCCGTCCAACGTGGAAACAAGTTGGGCGCAGCAATATTGTGGACTGCGTAGCTGAAGTTGAAGCGCAGAAAGGTGTTCTACGCAAAAATACTAGGCAAAACTAGGCCTTGGCCGGTAACATATATTTTTTTAACGTCATCTAATTTTATTAAATACTTTAATTTGTTTTTACGTTCTCTTCATTTTATATGTTTTATTTAATTTTTTTTTTAATTAAAATTTCTTTTATAT